AATTACCACAAGTTTTTACTCAATGAATAAATATATGAAATTATATTTAAAGAAATGTTTTGAATTAAATAAAAAAGATGGAAGGCAAAAACTAAAAGTTTCAAGGTAACATGTTGAAAGGCAAATAGTATATCGATAATCTTGTCTTGATATATGACCAAGACCTAGGACAATGCAGAGATCAAGGACTAAAAACTCTGGTTAAGATGACAACAACTTTGTAAAAAAAATAGTTTGAGTTACTTTTACAACAAATTTGCATCTTGCAATGTATTTTTATTGAATCATTTAGCTTATATGCATACGCTTATTTTAAAAATAGTTGAAAATAGGCACCATTTTTTATACAAAACCAAATAAATGTTCCGGAACATTTATTTGTTCTGGGTTGGCGGGACGGTACAAAAGTTCCTCAAATGTTCCTTGAATTTTTGTTCCGTTTGCGTTCACACGAGAGGATATTTGTTCATGTTCCATGTTCCACGGAATGTCCCATCAAATGTACCCTCGTGTGAACAGCCTATAAGGTTTTAGACTTAGGTCTTTCTTGATCTTTACAAAAAATACTCATTCTAACTCTTTACCAACACAGTTAATAGATTAGTTTATTTTACTTCGTACATAAAGTACTTAAATTGAATGTGTAAACATTACTTTTATTTTATTTATTTATTTTTCAACTTTAGTATGTGGCTACTAGTCTAGCATGAATGCTATTTGTGTGCTATTCATTTTTCATTGGTTCATTTTGTTTTTAACAATACAGAAAATCTGTATCGACTTTTTGATGTCTTGGTCTTGGTATTGGTCTTAAAGTTCTAAGTCTTGGTCTTAGTCTTGAGCCCAAATGTCTTGATCTCATTTATGTATATACACCCACATACACACATAAAAGTAGAAAAGAAGAAAAGAGCAACAATCTAAAAAAATGTGTTCAATTAAATAAATTTATTTAACTATGGTCCAAACAGTGGCCAAGAGTTAATGGTTCTTGGTCTAGTGGAGATGCTTAGGTTATTCAGCAATAGCTCTTTGCTTGTTCATTTTTTTCAGATGCTTAATACAACGAGTGGTGGAAATTTACTTCCAGATCTTTTTAGAGGAAGAAGGAAAGGGGGGGGGGAGTAAACAAATGGGTTTCATATTTTTAATCAAAGAGTTTATATTTTTGTTATTTTTGTTATTTTGTTTGTTCGTTGACAAATTTTTTGAAATTATGTTAATGGGAGATCCTTATTAAGCTTGTTAAAATCTAAAGTTTTTTTTTTCAATAAGCAATTAACTTAAAGGGACTACCAAGTCCCGAGTTGTTCATATTAAAGAGAATGTTAAAAAAAAACGTCTGAGCAAATTTTTTTTGATTAAAACTAATTAATAAATGTATACCAAGAAAAACAAATCTTGTTATTTTAGTCGAAGCTCGTCTTCTCCATTTTCTGCGGTATTTTGAATATGTAAAATAAACGCGATTTCCAGGCGCATTATACAGACTTGATAATTTTATTCAAGTGCGTTTAATTCATAGAAGTTTTAGTACATGACGTCATTAGAAACATTCTAGAAATTCTTTAAAAATTATACTATTAATTTTTACTAAAATAACAAACTATAGTTAGTTATTTTATTTTCTAAAATCTTCACATTGAAAAAAACATTAGGTTATTTTGTAGCTATCAGAGCCGTGGCTACATGGGCCACGGCGATGGTGGACCTAGGGACCCCTATGGCGCCAAATCGAGTTATGTAATATTTCCGATGATTCACGAGTGTGTTCTTTACATTTTGATGCAAATTGTTTCGACAAACTAACGAACAATTAATTAAACAATTAATTAAAATTTAACGAACAATTAATTAAATCAAGCACTAGGAAAAGATATAAAAAATAAGAATATAAAGTATATAATTTGAATAAAAAATATAAAGTATATAATTTGTAATTAACTTTCAAAATTTTGATAATTAAAAAAATATATATTATAAAACATTTATTTTTGTAAACAAATAATATTTTAAAAGAGTTACGGCTATGCAGATGTGGCCCCGAGAATGAGTCATAATATTAAATAGTTCATTTGATAATAATTTCTTTAAAAAATTTAATTTATTTATTATTATTTAATATGTCAAAACGCAACAAATCGTAAATAATACAATTACTAAAACATTTCAACAGAATACTCTAGAACTTTATTTCGCTTAGTCAGCGTATTTTTTGAACCAATAGAATTTGTTCGTAAATTTGGCGGGTTTTTAGTGTTCGCGAATATTCTTTTTATTCTTTCGCGAGATGTTTTAAGAACATTCAAGTTAATTATGTTTCCACGTACAGGGGCGGATCCAGCATTTTTTGGTGTTTGAGATAGCTAACTTACAGACATGGAGCAAACTCCAAACATTTATATGTTTATACTTATATCAAATAAGGATGGTTTGCAAAAAATTGCGATGATTCGAGACTGGGAACAAAAAAGCCCCAAAATTTGAGACGTACCAGCCCCAAACGTGAGAGCAACAAGTTGATAAAATATTTTTTGTACTATTCTCAACAAAACTTACATTTATCTATAGATTTTAAATTTCATTGTAAAATATTTCAGCGTTCAAAAATTATGACCTAAAGTTTGAATCCCCCTCAATTCGAGGGGGTTACAATTTTTATATGGTCATAATTTTTGAGCGCTTAAATATTTTACTATGAAATTTAAAATTTTTTGATAAATATAAGTCTTGTTGAGATTAGTACAAAAAATATTTTATTAATTTGTTGCTCTCACGTTTGGGGCAGGTATGTCTCAAATTTTGGAGCTTTTTTGTTCCCAGGCTCCAATCGTCGCAATTTTTTGCAAACCATCCTTATTTGACATAAGTATAAACATATAAATGTTTGGAGTTAGCTACATGTCTGGAAGTTAGCTATCTCAAACACCAAAAAATGCTGGATCTACTCCTGACGTATGTCCGTAAAATAAAAATTAATATATATGTTATAATAATGGAAATATAAATAATGAAATAAGATCACCTTAATATCAAAAAATACATTTTTGAAAATCAGAGAAAAAATGCTTTAATAATTTTTTTTAAATATTTACAAAGTAAATTAGTAAAAGTGCATTATTATTGAGGTTAAAAATTATTTTATCTAATATTTTGAAAGAAAAACTTATAACAAAAGAAATCAAAATACATGTGGTCTAGACGATTATTTTAAAAAATTTGTGAAAATAAAATATTATTTTATTTTTAATTTTTTTATAAACACATTTTAGAACTTTAAAATATATAAAAAATGATTATGATTTGGAAATTGCACCTAAAAAATAATAATTGGTGATTTAAACGAACAAACAAAAAATTCTATGACGTCATGTACTATAACTTCTATGAATTAAACGGACTTTACAGGGTTTTGCAAAGTTGTAAGTGCATGTTTGCAAAGTTATAAGTGCATGTTTGCAAAGTTATAAGTGCATGTTTACAAAGTTATAAGTGCACGGTTGCAAAGTTATAAGTGCACGCTTGCAAAGTTATAAGTGCATATGCATTTTTTTGGAAATTATTTTTTTAGCTTTAATAATATTGCGCAAAATATTAAATTAAATTACAGCATAGCGATCAATAAGTGTTTTGTTTTTTTTCTAAATAGTGAAAATTCTTTACATTTTTACTTAATTTAGCATATTGTTATATATCAATAACTTTTCTAGATTAAACACTTGCATAATTTTTGAAAAATAGTATACATTATTTAATCATAATATTTTAAAAAGGCATGCAAAAATATACATTATTAAAAAAAAAAAAAAAATCATTTTAAATATTTTAATTAGATAAACTCTTCTCTTCTTATTGCCTTTTTCGTGTGAAATTTAATTTCTTTAATTTACGGGAAACAAACGAGATTTACCATGTTGTTCTAAAATTAGCGTTTGAATTTCTTTTTGAATTACGGCATTGTTACAGACCACAAAATTAAATATTGTCTGTTCAATGTTTGTATTTATAGAATTTTTAATTTTATACGTTTCTTTTCTTCTTACTGTAGATGACGTAAAGGGTATATTATTATCACTATTTTTTAAAACACGACCAACAGCATTTCGAGTTAAATTACAAACGTTGGATATTTCCTTGATTGAATATTTCTCACAATTTCTCATTGAAATAATCGTATTTTTAATTTCTTCTGTAATTGTTTTCCGTACTTTTCTTTCCATTGATATTTAAAATATAAGAGTTAAAATTAATTTTATAAATGCACTTATAACTTTTGCAAACGTGCACTTATAACTTTGCAAACGTGCACTTATAACTTTGCAAAACCCTGTAATAAATTATTAAGTCTGTATAATGCGCCTGGAAAATCGCGTTTATTTTACATACTCAAATTACCGCAGAAAATGGAGAAGACGAGCTTCGACTAAAACAACAAGATTTGTTTTTCTTGGTATACATTTATTAATTAGTTTTAATCAAACAAAAAAATTCTCAGACGTTTTTTTTTAACATTCTCTTTAATATGAACACAACATGTCTCGGGACTTGGTAGTCTCTTTAACGCCTAAGCATAACTTAAAAATTTTTATTTTGTAATTTGTATCTTTTTAATATGTATATTAAAAAGATACAAATTACAAAATAAAATATATATATATATATATATATATATATATATATATATATATATATATATATATATATATATATATATATATATATATATATATATATATATATATATATATATATATATATATATATATATATATATATATATATATGTTTATGTATATATAAAATTTATTATGTTTTCTAACCTAAACATATATTTTTATGCATAACCTTTCTAACCTTCTAGATTATAACTTTTAAGCATATATTATTCTAACTGATAAATCAGTAAAATTTGTTAATGGTTCCAATATTTCTTACACAGCTGTATGTATGTATTTGTGGGAATATACGAATATGACAAACTATTTGTATTGTTTCTATAGAAATCACCGGTTTACAGTTTTTGGTAAGCAAACAGAAACTGAAGAAGTATTTTATCAACCAAATATTAAGCAACGATCTACAGGAGAATTACAAATAGGAGCAGACATGACTTGGTTGTTCGATCTTTATTCAAACGACAGGCAAAGTTTAAAGAAAAGCTCTAAAAACTAAATAAAAATTAATAAATTTTAAATTTTATTTACACGTCTTTATACCATTGAAATAGATTTTTTTTATTATTAACTTTTTATATTATTATAAAATTATATATATATATATATATATATATATATATATATATATATATATATATATATATATATATATATATATATATATATATATATATATATATATATATATATATATATATATATATATATATATATATATATATATATATAATATATATATATATATAATATATATATATATAATATATATATAATATATATATATATATATATATATATATATATATATATATATATATATATATATATATATATATATATATATATATATATATATATATATATATATATATATATATATATATATATATATATATATATATATATATATATGTTTATGTATATATAAAATTTATTATGTTTTCTCGCATTTTTTACATTTTACATTAAATCTAACAACAATTTATGTTTTCTTTCATTTTTTACATTGTTTTGGTAGCGTCTGCTTAAGTGTTAATTTTATTACTGCAACTCTGTAAATAAATCTTTAATGAGTAAATGTAGGAATTCTAGCGGAACCTTTTTTAAATGAGAATCTTCTCTAGTGAAAAGGTTGTACAAACTTGAATTGGAGTTCTAAACGGTTTTTATTTTAATTATAATAAATAAGTATATAAAAAAAATACAGTATTTCCAATTGAAGCCCAGTAGTAAACGTGTACATTTTCTGCATGATTTCCCTTCTTAGTACTACTAGTAATACTTAGTTTTAGTACGCTAATACTTAGTCTTAATACTTGGTTTTTGTGCGTTAATACTTTGTCCTAGTACTTTTTATTTTTTTTAAAAGCTGTTTAATTTTGTATTTTTTTTTTTTTTTTTTTTTTTGTATTTAACTGGTTTTAATAAATAAATATTTAAATTCAATTTAGTCTAAACAGGTTTATATTAATGTGAAAAGTAAAACTTTTGTTGAACTGTAGAAGAAATGTAGAAAGTAAAACAATTTGTTAGACTGTTAAATGATCTTATGTCATTATAAAAGTTTAAACAAATAATTTGTTCAAAACTATTTTGATAACATTTACTGAAAATAAGTTATCAAGAGCCTAATTTACTTTAAGGAAAACCATTTGGGAATTCGAATTTTAAAAAGGGTCAAATTTCTGTCATTAAAACAGATTGCGCTTAAAACGTTTGCTAAAGTGATGTGAATTGTATATCAAACGAAATAGTAGGTGCCATTAATGTAGCTGGTAAAAACTTTCATAATTATGATTATGACCACGTGTCAAAGTATGTAGCAAATTGATCTAATGTAGCATTTACTAACTGTTTATAGATTTGATTAAACAAATAATTTGTTAAATTCAAATAACTTGTTAAATTGAAGTTTTAAACTGACATGTAAAAATCTTTTATGCCTAGTTCGCTAAAAAAAAAAGATGTTATGTATTAAAACGTTCGCTAAAAAAATGTTCCGTACTAAAATGAAGAAACCTGAGGGCATCAGCTTCGTAGTTTTAAGGAGATACTGACTCAAAATCAAATATTTCGTGTTAAAAAATACTTTAAAGTTAAAATTGCCAAAATAAAAAATTTAACACTGTTTAAAACACCAGAGGTCGATGTTATAAAACTTTTTACTGGTGTAGAGTGGAGTATTTCAAGTTAAAAGTCGATTACGAGAATTTCATAAAAGAATACTATTAACTATATACAAAGGTTCCATCACTAAATAATAATTTTACTGTTGCCCGTTCCACCTTTGACGTATAACAGTAATTAAAACTTCACGTGAGCTGTTTGAATTCGTTTTTTACGCTTCCAGTCAAATATATCTTAATAGTATTATTTGAGTTTATAAGCAGTAGATCACAATGAATGTTAAGGAAGAAGGTATGCAAAGTTAATATATAGTTTCTTCATTTTATTTATATTATTAGTGAAGAAAATGTTCTCAGATGAAGATTTATCCTAACTCTTTGTTTAAAACTGTTTTATATATATATATTTAAATATATATATATATATATATATATATATATATATATATATATTGATAAAGTTGCATTTTTTACGCAAATAAATCTCGATGAATGTTAAAGAAGAAGGTATGCAAAATTAATATATAGTTTCTTCATTTTACTTGATAAAGTGAGATTTTTGACATTTTTTTTTTTTTTTTGTATATATATATATATTCGAGACTAAAAATGATAGATTTTTTTTGTAAATACTCAAAATTGTTTTTGTATATGAGATTTTGATTGTGACTTAAACATTAGTTATTGTAGTTAAATTTTTTGAAAAAAAAGTCCCACATAAATCTTTCGTTTTTTTAATTTTACTTTTAAGTTGTTTTTTTAATATAAACTTCTTTCTTTTTATTTTTCAGAACCCCAACCAATGATGAAAGAGATGGCTAGAAAAGGACTTAATGTAGGGTTGCCATTGTCCCGGTTTTTATGGAGGAGAGCACAGCGCTAAACTAATTAAAATTTAAACTTTTATCGAGTTCTCCTGCGAAAAGTACAATGGCAGCCCTAACTTAATGATATTTTAAAACAACGCCCAGCGAAAAAAGTCGATGATAAATCTGTGTTTTTAGAAGATCACCTCAAAATTATTACAAAATGTACTGAAAATAAACAATTTTCTCTAAAAAACGCATTAAGAGACGTAAAACAAAAGCTTTTAGAGAGCAAATATCTTCAAAACAACTAACCTATGCTTTCCAAATGAGTACGCGTGATGCAGGATATTGTGATGCGTCTAGAATAATCAAAGATATTAGCTTATCTCCGGAAGAGGCAAAAAAAAAAAAAAAAAAAAGAGAAAACTTCTATTCATACTAAAATTAAAAAGAAACACAAATATAGGAAGCATTTGAAAGTATCAAAAAAACAAATATCTATCACAAGAGTCAATGACAGTTTCGTGTTGAAATGATAAACGTGTTGAAATATTATACTACAAAATATTCTAGACTACACATCTAGACGCTTTTGTGAAAATTTAGATGAAGTTTTGGAAACCAAAGAAAAAAGAGATTTAGAGATGTTATTAAAATGGGGTTGCGATGGCTCACAGCAGCAAACATTTAAACAAAAATTTCAAAATAGTTTAGTTAGTGATTCTAATATCTTTCAAAGTTTATTTGTGCCTCTGCGGCTTATTTACTATATTGGTAGTCAAAAAATGATTTGGCAAAACCTAGTGCCCTGTTCTACAAGATCTTGCCCCCTAATGTGAATTCGTTTCATCCATGAAGTTAAAGATATAACAAATAAAAAAATTTGTTATGTAAAAGATCAAATAAAAAACTTGAGAAAAACTAAAATACCAAAATCTTTTGGTATTATACATATAAAGCATATATCTTTATTACCAATTATTATAATCCCTTGGCATTTACAATAATTGGTGAAAAAGTATGCAGTGCTGCAACCAACACCGCATCTACTATAAGGTGCTATATATGTGGACTAACGTCAAAAGGCTTTAATAATTTAAGTATAAAAAACATAGAAAATCCAGATATCCTTAAATTTATTTTATCGATATTACATGCAAGCATGTAATATCATCTGAATAAAAGTAGTATCTATAGATATATAAATGATATAATAGATATAATAGATATAAATATAGTAGATATAATAGATATAAATGTAGGCATATGAATAAACTTAGTAAAGAATTGAAGTTTCGAATCTTTACTATATTCTTTACTAGATTCCTTACTACATAAAGCATTCCCTAAAAAAAAGGGAGTTGAAATTAGACTTATTGAAAATCGTAGTACCATTGTCAAGTGGATATAAAATAGTTGTCAAAAAATTTAAAAAGTTTGCAGAACTGACAGTAGAACTTTTTGTTGCACAAAATATTTAGACATAATGCCACAATAATTGATCAATATTGTCTATTGGTCAATTATTGGAACAGGCGGTTGAGAGCAAAAGAAGTTCTATTTCCATTGAGGCAGTAGAATCCTTGCTACCAGAACCATTGAACGAACTACAACAATATGAAGAGGAGGCATCTAGCGAAAATGAATCAGATTTATGTACATTAACAAAAGTTTGAAAAAATTGTTTGACAATATTTAATAAAAATGAAATAATTTAAATGCACTTTTTTAAAAGACCTATTAATATATAATTTAAGCACTTTAAGATTATTTTTTCATTAGCAAATTAGCTGCAAACTTAAGATTAAAGACTAATTAAAAAAAAAATTCATTGATTTCTCAATCTTTAACACTATAAAAACAAAGTAGTACTAATAACTCAATTAAAAGTAGTACTAATGAATTTTTTTTTAACAAAAAAATCGAGCTTAATTATGAGTTCTACAGGGTTAAAGGTCAGTCCTACCCTAAAAGAAAAAACGTGGGTAAGATGGACCAGAGACTCTTTTAGACATTACCACCAAATTAACATATCGTCTTTTTTTATAACATAACTTCTTTTGGCTTTCAATTTAAATTACTTCGTTTTTCTCACTTACTCTCGGTATGTCGAAGCAGGTTATGATGAACTCTACTCACCATGAGCTAATATAAAATGAATCGCAAGTAAAAACTCTTTATATAGTGTTTAAAATTGATAGAGTTGTTCTTTGTGAACAACTTTTACGTATACTTGATGCCTTAAATATTTTCAAACTAAACATTTTAATAAAAATAAATGACAAAACTAGAAAACGAGTTAAACAACAACAAACAAAAAGCTGTATACATTAAAAATAACATTAGCGAGATAAATGATATTTTTGGTTTTAATACTAAAGGAAAGGAAAATGATGTAAGTAACTTATTTAAAAAAATCAACGAATCTTGAAAACCTCGCAGAAATCTAAGAATTAATGCGCGTTATTAGGTTGCAACCTTATAACGCCCGGAATGACTTTGAAAAAGTAATAAGTGAATTAAAAAATTCAAAATTATTACAACATATTATACACACGTATATTATACACGCAGTCGATTTAAAAAAAAACA